CCCCAAAACCCCAAAACCCCAAAACCCCAAAACCCCTCAATCTACCTCAAAAATTGATTGCTAAAAATAGGTTAACAGGATAATAGCAATATCCTTGCCCTTCCACAGGAGGAACTACAATGTCTTATTCATTGGTAATGGGCTGAGGGTTGGTGAATTTTTCTTGTGATTCCTTAAACTTCCCCTTCTTCTTTTTATTCCCTGCCTTTGACTTCCTACTGTTACCAACTTTGGTATCCTTCCCTGGAACCTTTACTGTTTTCGATACAGGATCGTAGTATGGAGTCTTGTTCTTTGGGAAATTCAATTTAGCGTCATTAGGGTCGACATAATGCTTCGGCTTTGAGTAATTCGGGTTTGCAGGAGATCTAGTTCCTAAAGTAAAATTTAAAAACTGTGTTGTACTTCTAATCTCCATATTTTGCTTCTTAAGGAGATCAAGAAATGAATTTTTATTCCTCTGAATCAATCTCTGAGAATCCATTTGACGATGCTTGAGTTGTTCATTCCTATCCCTCTGAATCCTCTTCAATAAAGCCGACAAAGCAAGCTGTTGCTTCCTTCTCAATTTCCCCTTTTGTTTAAGTATGATTTCTTCAAGTTCTTCTTCTATTTTCTCTTTTTTAAAGGCTTCCAAAGTATTAGCTTTGCTCTCTACCATTTTTTCTTCATCGTATTCCTTCATTGAGACAAGGAGTCTAACTCTTTTTCGCATTCAAGGAGCTCTTTCGATAACTTAAGCTTAATTTTAGATTCTTTCCTAATCTTCTCCCTTAACTGTTCGATCTCCATGAGATGCTTCTCCTTTAGCTTCTCCAAGGAGAGATAAGTAGTGGCCTCATAATCACTCATATAGTTATCCCAAGCTTGAGATAATTCAATGAATTGAGCTTTTTGAGCGTTTTTAACTGTCAAAAGCTCCTGCTCCTGAGCTGTCCTCATGTTGTTTTGTTGCCTAAGAGTCTCCTTTTCCTTCAGATCTTAAAATTTCTTCCTGGCTCTCTTGGCTTAAGAAAACTCTCCGCTCTTTTCTCACTTCTTACGATATTCATCAAGGAGTTTGAGGAAGTCAATGACTTTAGTATTAGATAAGAAGTGGATTCCTGTTCGAGGAAGTAGGGATCCATATTGGGCTCGCTCCTCTTCAGTGACTGACCTTGGGCTCTCATGATCCTCAGATTCTAACTTGAAATTCTCCCATATTATCTCCCTCTCCTTCTTGCTCTTGATTCTCAGGTTGTTCTTCATCAACAATGATCCGTTTCTCAAGTGCTTGCATCAGCACAATAAATTCTTGGAAGCTAAGTAGGCCATTCTCTTTGCCAAATCCAAATTCATCTAGCAGCTTGAGTACTTCCTCTTTGTTTCTGTTGAGTGAGTCTACAAGCAGAGTTAAATGAGATATTAAGGGAAAACCTAAAATGAGAAAACTTACTTATAATTGACTGGAAATCATTCAGGTTAATATAGCCTGTACTTTCCTTATCAAACATATCGAAAATGTTTTTGAAACTCGCGATTTCTTCTTCAGAGTAAATGATATCCATTTCCTCTTCTTCAGAATAAGGGGCTATCTGGCCTTCAGCTTGGCTCCCTGGGTGGCTTTGCATTTGTCCAGGAGGGACAGGTTCTTCTTGTTTTACATCTTCAGCAAGCTCATGCTCTTCTTCATCTTCTCTATCCATCTCACCAGGCTTTTCAGCGATGAAGATGTTATTAGACTCGTTCTCAGTACCTTGGGAGTGTCTCTCTTTAGGATGATAAGTTTCTCTCTCCGCGAGAGGCTGACTTCTATTTCCCCAGGAGTTGGCATAGCACCTTCAATTTCATCATCGCTAGGTTCAGCATCTAACCTATGAGAGCTCTGAACTTTGCTCTCTTCACTTGCTTCCTAGATGCTTCCTTGATTTTAAATTTTACTTTCCTCATGAATCCTGGAAGAATCTTTATTAGCGGAGCTTCCTCCAATATCGTTTAGAATTTAATTTAAAGCAAATTTCATAAATTTTCCCAAAAAGATCACGAACCGGTCTAAAATTGTGTGAAAATTTAGCAAAAACTGGGTCCCAAAAATCTAGATTTCCCAGTGATGAAAAAAGGTGCGCTATTAATAGCCTTACCTGCTATATCCTCTATATAGTCCTGGCTGGTGTTCATATGAATTATATTATTTTTTATTTCAAATTGAAAATAAAGATTAGGGGTTTTGGGGTTTTGGGGTTTTGGGGTTTTGGGG